CCGCCATGCCGGTGAGATGGTGTACTTCCTTTACTGAGTTTGGTCTCTCCAACTCCTGAATTGCTTTGATCTGGGAGGGGTCCGCTTCTATACCCCGGTTGGTCACAAGGAAGCCCAAGAATTTGCCAGATCCTACACCGAATGCACACTTAGATGCGTTGAGGCGCAACTTGTGCTTCTTCAGGATATCAAACATCTCTCCTAGGTCCTTGAGATGGTCATTTTCATCCTTGCTTTTGACCACCATGTCGTCGATGTAAGCCTCCATTGTTCTTCCTAACAATGGTTCAAACATCTTGGTGACCATTCGTTGGAATGTTGCCCCTGCGTTCTTCAGGCCAAAGGGCATGACCTTGTAACAGTATAGTCCTCTTGGAGTTGTAAAGGATGTGACCTCCTGGTCTGGTTCATGCATGGCGATTTGGTGGTAGCCTCTGTATGCATCCAGAAAGCTAAGTCGGTTGTGCCCCGCCGTTAGGTCTACCAGGTGATCTATCCGTGGTAGAGGAAAGCTGTCTTTTGGGCACGCCTTGTTGACTGTTTTGTAGTCGACGCAGACATGCCATTCGCCATTCTTCTTTGGTACTACGACCGTGTTGGAGATCCATTTTGGGTAGTGCACTTCTCTAATTGCTCCTGCCTCCAGCAGGTTACCTACTTCTTCCCCCACAATTTCGGCATAGTGAAGTGCCGATCTGCGAGTGCGCTGAATGACTGGCCTGGCGGATGGGTGGACATTGAGTTGGTGACAGATGAAGTTTGGATCAATGCCTGGCATGTCGTAGGGTGTCCAGGCGAACACTTTGATGTTAGAGGTTAGGAATTCCAAGACCTCTAATCTCTCAGTGCTGGACAACGACGAACCAAGCAAAAAGAACTTATCCGGGTTCTTTTCATCTATTTTTACCTCTACCAAGTCCTCCACTACTTTCTGATCTGCCGCTTTGCCGACATCTGTGAATAGCTCATTACTCTCAGGTTCCTCCACCGAATGAACGTATCCTTTGGCAGCGCGGCTGCCATTCACCGTGATGAAGCATTGTTTTGACATGATCTGATCTCCATAGACTTCTTCAATTACACCGGTGTCGTTGGGGAACAGCATTACTTGGTGGTAGGATGACGCCACCGATCGCATGGCATGTAGCCATGTTCTGCCTAGGATGATGTTGTAAGTGGAGGGGACCTTTAATACCCAAAACTCCACTTGTTTCGTCACGCTTCCTGCTCTAACTAGAAGAATTATTTTGCCGACGGGCCATTCTGGCATAGAGTTGAATCCAATTAGAGGTGATACAGTAGGCGCCAAGTCTTTGTCTTGTAGCTTCAGTTGTTTAAATGTTTCGTAGTACATGATTTCACATGAACTACCCTGGTCAATCAGAATCCGCTTGACGTCAAAATCCTTGACTCGGAGAGTGACGACCAGGGCATCGTTGTGAGGGCAATATATCCGTTCCAAGTCTTTATCCGAAAAAGACATGACGTTTGTTGCCTCTGTCTTCCCCTTCTTGGTGGCAGGTGGGGCACTTAGCACCTCTCTTAAGTGTTCAGCCTTTTTGATTGATCCTCTGAGCTCGCATACACGCTCAGGTTCAAAGACCCTATGTATCACATTGATAACGCTTTGAGGTGGGGCGTCGATTGGCATCCCATTGGGGTTATTATGGTCCTGGGGGGCTGGCTGTGTCCCTCCTTCAATGTATTTATCCAAGTGACTTGCGGTCACCAATTCCTCCAGGTGTTGTCTCAATGGCGTGTAATTCTCAGTGTGGTGCCCCTTTTCTTTATGGAAGGTGCACTGTGATCTTTCGTCATAGTCCTTCTGTGCTTCCCCTAGCTTGGCTGGCCACTTGACGAAAGGCTCATCTCTTATTTCGCTCAGAATTTAAGATGTATACCTTTCAAACCAGGTAAAAGCTCTTTCTTGAACAAAACTTGTAGTCCCTTTTCACTCATATGGCCAAGCCGCTTGTGCCACAATTCGGTAAAAGTATCATCTTCAAGTGCATTGACAACACCTTTACAAATTTTTCCTTGCATCGAATAAAGTGTATGAGTCTTCTTACACTTAGCCACCACCAAAGAACCCTTTGTGAGCTTCCATATTCCATTACCAAATTTGTTGTTGAAGCTTTCATCATCTAGCTTGCCAGTAGAGATCAAATTGAGGCGAATGTCAGGAACATGCCTCACATCTTTAAGCAACAACTTGTAGCCCAAATTTGTTTCCAAGCAAACATCACCCATGCTAATAATCTTAGACAAACCTTCATTTCCCATTCGAATAGAACCATAATCTCTTTTGGTGTAGGTAGTGAAGAAAATCAACTCAAGAAGTCACATGAAAAGAAGCACAAGAATCAATCACCCAATTGCTCTCTTGGCCTACAAAATTGATACAATCATCTTCACAAATGACCATGAGATTATCGGTAGTAACTGCCATTGTGTCTTCTTGCTTCTTGTCCATACTTTTGTCACGCCTTTTCTCCTTGTTCTTGAGCTTTTGACATTCCCACTTCATGTGTCCTTTCTCATGGCAATAATAACACTCAATGTCTTTCTTTGAAAAAGAACCATCTCTTGATTTGTCACGGCTTTGATCATGACTATGAGGAGTCTTACTCCTCCCTATTATTTTGCTTTGGCCTCTCACAACAAATGCTTCTGAATGAGAGGAACCTGCTGATTTTCTTTTAGTTTCTTCATTCAACAAGCTACTAGTGACTTGGCCCATCGTGACAATTTTATTGCGCGCCAAATTACTAACTGTCACAACCAAAAGTCTCCCAATTTTCGGGTAAAGAACTAAGTAGCATCAAAACCTACAACTCATCATCAAAAATAATTTTTATAGAAGCAAGTTGGTTAACAATACTCTTTATTTCATTCAAATATTTTGGAATAGGGCTATCCTCTTTATATTTTAAATTAACCAACTTACGAAACAGAAAAACTCTATTTGTGACTGATTTCCTATCATGAATGCCTTCTAATTTTTTTCCATAAATCATGTGCTGAAGTTTCAATAACAACATGATGAAATGCACTGTCATCAATCCATTAACGGATAACACCAACGGCTTTTTGATTAAGCCTCTTCCATTCATCATCTTTCATATCATCAGGTTTGCCACTATCACCCTCAATAGACCCATACAAATATTTACAAAATAATAGGTCCTCCATTTTAGTTTTTCAAGTTACCCAATTGTTTCCATTGAAGTTAGACATACGACTCACATTCTCCTCCATTGATTTACACAAATAAATAGACCCAAATAAACTGTAAGCTCTGATATCAGTTGTTAGAGAAAATATATGATTCCCCACAAGTAAATCAATAAATGGGAATAAAAACAAATGCGGAAAAATTAAATCAAAAGCAACACAAGAATTTTTACGTGGTTCCCTCAATGTGAGGGGTACGTCAACGGGATCGAAATCCGATTCCACTATCAACCAAAATTTTTTTAAACGATTACAAACAAAACACGAATGGTCTCACAAAATTACACTTAGGTGAATTCCAAAAAATCATAAATAAACAAGAGAAAATGCCTCACCAAATAGATGAACCAAAATCTTCGAAACCAGAATTGAAGAAGATCGAAAATAATAATCCAAATCAACTTCACCAAAACAATCAAGATGCACGCGTACAATTCCACACACAGGAGCAGAAAAGTAGCACTTTTCACTCACCCAAATTTGATTCCACCGAATTAATTTTCAATCTATAGCAACCGTATAGTATATGCTTCGGGAACAACAAAGACCATATATATATTGTTAAATCTTGGATTTTTATCAAAATCTTAGTTTCTATCAAATTGACTATCAAATACCTATTAGGATTCCAAAAGTCAGATATAATATATAAAATATATTATACTTAGACCAAACTAAATTAAAATATTTTTAATAAACCAATTGGGTTCCAAGCTCCACTAAAGAGATATACCCCAACATGAAAAACATCAACACGTGAGGCTTAAGAGTTATTTCGCGTATAACTTATTTTTTTTAGAAAAAAGATTCAGACCCCCTTTGGAGTCATCCCCACGACCCCCTTTGCTTTTTCATTAGTCAATTTTATTTATTTATTTATTTATTACAAATCGGCGCGTAAAAAAAAAAAAAAAGTGATACGATAGAAACAAATTAATAAACACTTTAATTAGGATATCCCGAAAGAGGCCTTAATGTTAGCATGGTATTTAATTATGGAACAAAGAGGAAAGCATTGGATGTGAGAAATATGTAGATTTGATAGTACAATCTGTATGAATTAGATCATGTGTAAAGCAACCTAATATATTTATTAATTTTTCAAGATAATAATATTTTTATTAGACAAAGTGTAAAATTAGATCATAAGAAAAAGATATATTATCTTCAAAATTTAACAAGCGTTATGTGTTTCACACATGATTTGATTTTGTACAAATAATCTCTAATAAAATCTCAACGGAAATAGTTAAATTATATGTATCAATATGATACTTTGGGATAATTAATTATTAGATTTTGCAGTTCAAAGTGCAAACGAGACATAGTTTACCTATATTTGTAAAAGGGTTAGTTACGCTTTTTACTATGTAATTTACTCCAAATTTCACTTTTAATTCATATAATTTTAAACTAAATAATTTGGTTCACACAATGTGTAGCTTTAATTTGCGTATTCTATTCAAAATTAAAATTAAAATTAGCAATTTTAAAATACTTATCAATTTTTAAGGTATAAATAGATAAAATTAATAAAAATTTAGATAAAATATCTAAATTAAAATCTAACTTAAAGTATAAAAATCAAATTATTTAAAATAAAATAATAAAAAGTAAAGTAAAATTTGGGTATAAAAAAGTGTAATCAACTTTTTGTTAAAATCTCAACCCATTGGGCTTGCTTTGCAAATCAATAGTTGCTTAGATAAAGCCCAATAAAATGCGACATTTCTTCCACTTGCTTTGCTGACCCAAGGTCAGCTCACTCAGCAGCTGATATGTATCCATCTATCTATCTAATAGCTTATAAAATCATATCCATCTCCAAATCAACACCACCCTCATAAACCTCCTTTCTTTGATTCCTTCCTCTGTTTCTCCAAACCCACACCAAATCAAAACCCTTGAAATATTTTCATATCCATATATACGTTATACTAGTTCTTGGGAAACCCAGATTCCCCAAAGCGTAACGCACTCATCTATCGGAAAAATGAAAGCTTTTACTACCGTACCCTTCTCCGACCTTTCTTCTCTAGCCAGAGCAACCTTTTCCACACCAAGGTAACGATGTCTTGTCATGGTTTCCTTTTATTGTCTTTTATTTTTTTAATATGTGGCATGTTTATATAGTATTGTGATTGCCCATTGTTATTGCTTAAAGATTCACATTTCCTGCACTTGTAAGAAACTTGATGATAAATTTTGGGGTTTTATTTATTGTGCTATGGATGTTGGTGAATTGGCTGTGAATGTATTGTACTTGGGCTTGTTAATCATCATAGTGTGTGTGAATGGTTGAGTTGAGGCCTTGAAAGCATATTTCTTCTGAGACTGGATGTTGCTTAATTGACAAACTTTCATGCACCTTTTAGTTAAATTTTAGTATTTTAGGTAGGAATGGAATGACTATTCCTTGGCCCCTAATGGAATGACAATTCTCCTAAATTAGTGAATGGTGATTTTATTTGTAATTTATATTTATTTATTTTTTACCCAACTAAGCATGAGAATGAATATTACGAGGGAATAACCATACCATTCCAAACTTCATTCTAGTGAACCAAACAATATGAGTATTAAGATTATGATATGATTGAGCAGAAAAAAGAAAGGAAAATAAATAATTTAAAGCTATGATTCATGGCACTATGAGGAAATATGTTTGGGATAGCTTAAGACATCATCTTAAATTTCAATATGTGGTGCAATAAGGGGAAGAGATTGGAGACAATTCAGGCTCTGGACATGTTAAGTAAATCACATGTTCCTTACTTGGTGGCACGAAAACATACGGGTGTGATAAGACAATGATTGTTCATTGGTATCCATGGAATGTGCAGGCAATCCCAAGTGTGGGAACTTTGTGAAACCCCAGTAATTGTGAAATTTTTTAAATTTTTTTTAAAGATATTTAATGGCTAACATTGCAAATGGTAATGGAAACAACGGCTACCAGTTCTCTCTCTCTCTCTCTCTGTATATATATATATATATATATATTTTTTTTTTCTATTTCCAAGTTGGCAAAACTGATTATATTTTAGTATCTTCTCAGGACTCAGCTCAATTTTCCTAAGAAACTATTCTTCTGCCAGGCAAAGTTTGGTAAGCAATTCCTTTTTCATTCATCTTCTTGTTACATCTGATGGACCATCCATACTTTCACTCAGAAGTTCACTATCATGCTTGTATTATTTGGTTCATCTTAACAATATCGGAGAATTTGTTTTGATACATTAGCAGCTGAATCTGGGAATGATGGGTCGTTCAGCTTAAGAGTGGTGCCTTCAAATTTGTTAGTGGCTGAGAAAGAAGAAGCCAAGGCTGTACTGGCCTTGTTCTTGAAAAAACAAGGCTTAAGCAATTCAGTTGCAGCAAGAACTATCAACAAGTCAGAACTTTTCATTGATCACCTCGTTTCAAGGCTTCATTCTGTTCATAAAGCCCGGTATCTAGTAGGTTCGAGTTAAACACATCACTGTTTTCCCTGAAGCTTAAGTTTTATGATTGTCTTGTGTTTCAAGCTTTACTGCCCCACTTATTGGATTTTTCTTTGACATTGCAGGACGAGAGCTTACAACTCTTGAGATCAGGGATGCTCTTATTTCATATCTTGATACCCTTTATGAGGAGTATGGAGACATTCTGATAGATGTAGTGGAAAACTTTCCAAATCCACCAATTAAAGGAAAGCCATTAGAAAAGTTACCAAACCCATCAATTGAACACAGATCGGTTGTGCCAGTTTCGGCCCCCAATACCGCCTTCAACCCCAAGAAGTTAAAAGCCTTGGCCAGAGTGACTAATGTCAGTCCTGGGAAGCTCCCTCCTCACATTATCTACCTCATAGAACTTGGCATGGAACTTGAGCTGATCAAAGAAGTGACACGCAAATTCCCTGCCTTTGCCTACTACAGCTTAGAGGGGAAAGTTAAGCCTATTGTTGAGTTCCTTCTTGATCTCGGGGTATCAAAATCAGATATTCCCACCATCCTCACCAAAAGGCCTCAACTTTGTGGAATCAGCCTCTCCGAAAACTTAATACCCACTATGACATTTTTAGAGGACTTGGGTGTGGACAAGAAACAATGGGCGAAGGTGATTTACCGATTCCCAGCACTTCTCACTTATAGCAGGCAAAAATTGATGTCAACCGTGGATTTTCTTTATGAAATGGGGCTTTCAGCGGAGAGCGTGGGCAAGATTCTAACACGCTGCCCACATATTATAAGCTACAGTGTGGAGGATAAGTTACGGCCTACAACTGAATATTTTCGTTGTTTGGGAGTTGATGTTGCGCTTCTTCTCCACAGATCACCACAAACTTTTGGTCTAAGTATTGAGGCCAATTTGAAGCCCGTGACAGAATTTTTCTTGGAGAGGGGTTACAATATAGAGGATGTTGCAACTATGATTTCAAGATACGGAGCTCTGTATACTTTTAGCTTGTTGGATAATTTGATACCCAAGTGGGAGTTCTTTTTAACAATGGATTACCCGAATTCTGAACTGATTAAATTTCCTCAGTATTTCGGTTACAGCTTGGATGAGAGGATTAAACCTAGGTATGCAATTGTGACTGAGAGTGGAGTAAGGTTGCTGCTAAACCAAGTCCAAGTCCTATCTCTTTCAGATGGCGAGTTTGATAAGGTGTTGAAGCGGAAAATGAAGAAGAATACTGGATGACATGACTCCGGGTGTCTGTTCTAGCGGCCATGAGCTAGGTTTGGGCATGGAACAACGAGACATTTGTGATTGCTTGGTCCACAAACCCAGTAACTTGTTGGATGGGGCCTTAGTGATGACTCATGATGCATTGTTTAAGAAGTAGAAATTACCAGACTTCGGGCATTTCATTGTTGTTGTTTTGATGTGTGTATTCAAGGACAAGAGTAGATAATTATTTCATGTATAATTGTGTAAAAAAAGATAATATGAAGGAAATATTCACCTTGCTCCGTGAGCTCTTTCTTCCAACATATTTTTGTGTTATGGTGTCCTGATTGCTACGAGTTTTTTCTTAGGAAAAAAAAGGTTTGTTAGTGATCCTTTAGGCTGTGTTTAGATATAGATATAGATATAGCTAGGGAAATAGAAATGAAAAATGTGAGTGAAGTATAATTATATGGAAAAAAGGTTGGGCCCTTTTGGGAATTTCTATCATTCTCAATGTATTGTGATTGGTTAATTTTTTTTTTTTTGTTTTTTGTTTTTTTTTCTCTCATCTTTGGCTAACATGTGTCTGTGAGGGTTGTGAGGATAAAAAAAAAAAAAAAGGGTCTGTATCATTTCTGATTCATTTATATTTTCACTTTTTCTAAAAAAAATTATACTCTATGATTCAAATACAGTTTTAAGGAATGTAAACCGTAATATGTTGTCTAAATCCTTTAGGGCATGTTTAATTGACAAGATTAGATGATAAAATTGGGATTATTAATTCGTGAGTCCAATAATCATGTGTTTGTTTTGAAATTTTATTTTAGGATTATTAATCCAACAAATTTGTAGGATTATTAGTAATGGGTTAGGGGTGAGATTATTTATCCTGAGTTGGGAAATAAAATAAAAAAGACTATTTTATCCTTGACTAAAAAGTAAAACACATATTATTTTTATATAATTTTATATTTTAGAAGGCTAAAAATAATTTTTAAAAATTTAAAAATATTTTTTGATATTTATTTATCAAATTAGTTTATATTTTAAAAAATAAAAAACAAACCAAACATGGCTTTGTATTTTTATTTTGCTTTTAATTATTTTTATTTATAATTTTTTTTTAAAACCACGTTTATGAAGAAATTTTGATAAAGTAAAGATTGTGAAGAAATATTAATGGAGGGTAAGATTGGAAAAGAAAATAAATATAATTATAATCTTACATTTATAGGTTTTTTTATTCAATACAAATCAAGCAATAGATTAGGGAATAATTTATCCTACTAATCAAATTAAATAGTGAATGTCACATTAATTTAATGAAATTATTAATACTTTCACATTAGTCTTATGAATCAAACATGATCTTATTGTCATAACATTCTCAAGAAATTATTTGATATTTCAAAAATATAATGTAATTATGTGTATACCAAATAATAAAGTATATGTGATAATTTAAAAATAAATAAATAAAAATTATTGTTCAGTCCACATTTTAAAAAATAATTATAAATTCATAAAAAAATTATAATTATAATTATTAATATTTATAAAATTTATTATTGATTTTAATTATTTTTATAAATATAAATGATTTAATATTTCCAAAAAAAAAAAGACAAAATCATCACCCATAACCAAACGACAGAATACAGTTCGTTAAGGAACGTGGACAATGACACGTGGCATGGTCAAATTAACCATATGGCTTACCACAATCCGTTAATTGAAGTGTGCGGCCCTAAAAGGATAAGTATGAAACGCAAAGCTGTCAAATTTTACTGTCGGCAGTAAAATTTAAAATTTGCCTATAAATCGAATTTTATGTTATTTTACAACTTCACCCTGCATTTCTTTTCATCCATCATATGAGTATCGTTTGGAAAGTTAATCATTTTAAGTTAACTAAAAAAAGTTATATTTACAAATACAATTAATTCGATAATTATGAGAAAAAAAGTAAAATAATTATAAATTAAATGTGATATTTTATTTTATTGACTATTTTAAATTATTTATTTTTATTGACTATTTTAATCCAAATAACCTTCCTAAACAAGGCCATAAGCTTTGGACTCAACTATAACAATCTCCTTAAACTTTATAAAAAAAAATAACAATAAATTTCCCCCTTAGTCATATGAATTATAAATTCTCCTATCATAGCTTCTTTCTCTTAAAATAAATTATTAATACTAAAAGAAAATGACACATCAAGTATTATCAAGCCACTCTATCACAAACCTTCGCTCTCTATCCTTTATACTTACCATCCGTTCTTGGCTATCATGGCCACTTTCGTCACTTTACATACATCCTTCCTTAAATAAGTAATTTGAAACGCTTAAAAAAATTAAAAAGTTGCCCTCAATATTTCAATGACTTGCTATATTATCATGTGCTTGCTTTCAAATTTAGTTGTTTGTAGTCATCTATTTATATTTCGAATCATACAATAGACTTCAATTGTTCAAGTTAGCTATTAAAACTCAACATTATTACTCTCACATAATAAAAAACTAAAATGGACAATTTTATTATCTGACATTTGGAGATTATTGAAGGCATTAGCAATTTTGTTGAGGTATTATCATATTTAATTAACCTAAAGTGCTCTAAATGGATAGCAAGTTTTGCAAAAATTGTGAAAAAGACCAACAATATCCCTAATATCTGATAGTTTGGTGGCGCAACCATTATCTACTATCTTTTATCTAAAAGAGTTAAATTGTTTATATTAAGAACAACCATGATACAGACCCCCACTATCCCCCACTCCCACTACCCCCCACACACATGGGGGTTATTGATTGGAGAAAAAAAAAATTGGCCAATGACCGCCCACTGGGGGTCCCAAGCATTATACTATTAAGAATATTAAGGGGTATATGATAACAATTAACATACAAAAGGTCAACTATTGTTGTCGAACTTATTAAAACCTCAAGTTTGCCATCAATTGGCAGAAGTCCTCTTGGATTTTCAATAATATTTGCAATATGAAAGAGCATATAACATTTATGTGATATAATTCACTTTTTCCATTGCATTATTACATTTTTTTTCGTTCATCTATATGGATTAGGCATTTTAGAAATAATAATAAAGATAGACTATAAGTTTAGGCATTTTGAAAAATAAAATTATTGGCATCAACTAATTGATGCAATAATTAACTAACCAACACAGAAATTAAAATACCATATAACTCAAGGGGTGAGAGGTATTTTTCAAAAAAAACTCAGGAAATTAATTGCAATTTAAATAAACGCTAGGGATGTATTTGTAATTAAATTTAATTCATTAATTGATTTTTTTATTATTATTTTAAGACTTATTTGGTACTCTTCTCATTTTCAATTTTTTTTAATTTTTTTCCCCTGAGAATTCTCTGATACACTTTTGTTTCAGGTCGACCGTTTCTTCTTTCTCATAGGCACACAAAACCACCCTCTCATGTATCAGTTGCAGAACATCTTTTGAAATTTCTGAATCAAACTCAGAGAGAGAGAGAGAGAGAGAGATAGCGAAGTGAAGAGAAACATGTTCTACTCGCACTGTTTCCTTTCTAGGAAAGGGCCTTTAGGAACCATATGGGTCGCTGCTCATTGTTTCAAAAGGGTGAAGAAACACCAAGTTGCTCAGATTAACATCTCTTCTTCAGTGGGTAAGTTCCCAATTTATCTTTTTTGTCTCTCTTTTCACTGCCCATTTCATACTTTCTGCTGATTTTCTTTTCCCGGAGAGCTTTAAGTGAGAAATGAAATGAATAATGCTTTAATTTAGTTGATAATGTGTTCATTTTCTAACCCTTTTTTAGAGTTAATTTATTTTGCTTCCTATAAATTTTCCCAATAACCAAACAGATGGTGTGCTTGTTTTGTTCTGTTTTTGGTAAGATAGTGCAAGGAGAGAAATGGGCATTTCATATATGTTATTTATTTTTTGGGTTTTCTACCCTATAATTTCGATTTTTTTACTGTGTTAACTTTTCTCTACTACATGTATTTGTAACCTAGCTTTGGGCTTTCCATGGGTACTTTATTTTGAATTGTATTGATTAGTTACTTTTCTGTAGGTTACTATGGACATTGTAGGAACTGGATGATAAGAATTAATTGAGAAATAATTGTTTGTTTGTTGAAATCAGTTGATTTGAAAATTGTCGATAACAATAACTTATGATATAATGAATGAAATAGTTATCGGCTAACCTTTTCCTAATTTGTGAAATTATTGGAAACCTTTTGAAAAAAAAAAAAGGTAGGGTGCACAAAAAACCCAGTAAATTCAGTTTTTTCAAGACATTGGTTCGGTTCTGGGTCTTACAATCATCAACCCAACAAGATTGGGTTAGGCCTTGGTTTAGGCCATGATTAAACCAAGACCCGAACCTATATATATATATTGTATAAAATTCTATATATGTTCACATATCGGATTAAATAGAATTCATTTCTTACCTTCATTTAGACAACTCATTTATAGAAACTAGATAAATTTTTTTAAAATTTTCTACATTGGCTCATTAACAGTTAAGGGTATTTATTTTTTCATATTGACTTATTCACATAAACTTTTTTGGTATATATGTTGTTCTTCTTTGTTTGTGTTATGTTAAAAAAAATGTTACAGGCTTATTTTCTCTAATCATTTATTGTTGATTGGTTCACTAATTTTTAGTATAGTGGAACCGTGGTTCCAACCTGAGCTACATTGGGTTGGTTTGGTTCTAGTGCACGATTGGTTCAGTTCTAGGCCCAAAAACTTGGAACCGATCATCATTGGTTTGGTTTGGTTATAAGTTTAGTGCTAACCTGAACCAAACAGACTGATGCTCACCCCTAGAGGTGGATATGTTTGTGCCTAGAAGGGTTTGAATAGGCTAAAAGGTTTGTCAATTTTAGTCTCTCAATCCAATTTTTCTCAATCAATTTTATCAACAATATTCACACAATATCATAGTAATCAAATAAAAAATGAACAGTGTTTGAGATGTTTTGACCAAATGTTTAAGGTGTGACTCTGGTATTATGGGGGAGATTGAGACTCCCAAAACAAAAGATATGTTTCTTCTTGCGGCACTGTGAATGGAGTTCATATCTTTAGTCAATTTTAGTGTTTGGTTTGGAATGGTTATCTTATTGCCAATTACTTCCAATTGCTGGTGTCTTGAATATTTTGACAGCCTTAGTTATCTTCTTCTTTCTTAATACAGACAAGATATTGGTAGATGAAGTTCCTGTTGTCACATATAGAGTACTAGGGCACCTTCTCCTAGGTGTTGTGAGGATATACTCAAAGAAGGTTGAGTATCTGTTCCATGACTGCCGTAAGGTGCTGGTTAAAGTTAATGATTTTGCGGGTAGCAAAATAACTAATGTGCATATTCAAGCTATGTGCCCACCTTATCTCTCCATCACTCGACCAAAAAGGTTTGAACTCGATGCTTTTGATCTGCAGATATTGGAAGATGGAAGCGGGTGAGCTATATAATAATCACCATTTCAAAAGTTTGAAGTTTTCATCTTTCCTGCTACTAACTCTTGGCCACCTCTTTACTCTGATTTTGCAGGGTCAATGAAAGACCTGATGAAGATATTATGCTTCCAGGTATTAAAATTACAGTAAGTTCTTTATAACTTCATTGGCTTGGTTGCACTTTGCATAATTTGGCCTTTATATAAAACAGATGCAAGGCAAAATGACGGCGCTGGACATGACTCGTTTGACAAGGTGTGCATTGTTTGTGTTGCGATGCAACATCTTCAGTGTCTTTTTTCCCTGTTTATGAAAGAATATAATTAAGTTTTTGAGACCACCATAGGATCAAATTGAACATAGGAGATTATAAATTTATTTTTAACTTCTCTAGCCCATTATGCACGCGTTTATTCTTCAAATTTGATTTCTCATGATTTGTTTCTACTTTGTTCAAATTCTGTCAAAATCATGTGTAAGATTGTTTGATACCACAAAACCCATTTAAGATTGTATTTTTTTGTAAGATTATGTCTTTGAAAGTTTGTTGGTTAACTTGTGTGTTATGGGTCTTGATAACCACCTTTAATGGGCGCTGGTTAGGGATCAAATAATATAAAAAAAGTTAGAAATCCAATACACATTTGACATATTTCAAATTACATATATTTCTATACATCTTTCGCTTATTTCGATAAACATTTTACACATACCAATATTAATCAACACCCATTGGGCGGTGGTTAGGATTTTCCCATCTTCTTAGCTCAGAACTTAAAGATCAATAGTTTTTGTCCTTTTAGCAAATTGCTACGAAATGGTTGGATTAGTAATGTATGTATTATTGGCAAAATAAAGGTGAGGGGACAGTATGGCCCTATCTCTCTGCCTATGTCAAGCGACAGTATCATCCTCTTATAGATGGTCTCTTCTGTTCATTTTCTCATAGTGGCACCCAGCAGCAGATTATTGTAGTGACTCATTGCATAATTAGTAAAACAGTATTGAAAACATCTGTGCAAAGATTTTATTTTTCCATTATTCTTCTTCTTCAGCATGATACTTAATGGGTTATTAACTAAACCAAATAAATGCTACAACCAACTTACTCAATTTCTTCAGTGTCTGTTTGGCAACTCTTATTGCTTGAATAAGCATTTAAAATTCTACTTACTTGTATAGTGTATTTTTTAGGTGTTCATTACCGATTGTGCCCATTCTTATCTTGCTCATATTATTGCCATTTAATTAAGCTACTCGTCGCTAATGAGTGTTCTCCACCCAAATAACAGTTGGCCTTGTGATCTTCTCCCAAGAGAGGTGGTAGGTGTGGAGAAAGATAGTGGAGGTAGTAGGTGAGTGGTAAATTCTAACAATCTTCTCCCAAGAGTTTCTAATGATTTGAGAGGAATTCTTCAGCCACACAACACTCTAGATCATTCTTTCCTCTTCAAAGAACCTGCTTAACCCATGGATAATGTCCTTTTCCTTAATTACCAATCCAAGAAATTGGTTGGTTTTGTTATGTACTCATACAATGTTATTGTTAGGTTGACATGCAAAAGGAGAAATTTGCTATGAAGGTGCTGAGAAAATCCGAATTAATTATAGGACAAACATTTGGATCTCTCTCTCTCTCTCTCTCTCTCTCTCTCTCTCATTGAATATACATAATTTAGCCTTTTCAATTTGCAGTATCACTCTGAGGAAGATGCTCTCTCTCTCTCTTTCTCATTGAATATACATAATTTAGCCTTTTTAATTTGCAGTATCACTCTGAGGAAGATGCTGCAAATTTTGAAACTTACACTCCGGTTAAAGAGTATGTACACAAAATCCCTCATGTTTCTTCTTGGAATTGCTCTAGATATATTTCTTTGAGCTTGTTGAAAATATACTTTTGTATCCCTGTTGCAGTGTTCTTTCACATTACATCATGAAGAATGACATGATGGTGGCAAGTGCATCACATAATTTAAGCAAAGCAAGCATAGAGAAACTTAGAGGCAATATTTTTTCACTGGAAGAACGTCTGGATCCTATGCCACTTGGTGAGTGTGAGGAAGAACCAGGTATTGTTAGACCATTGGGTAAGAAGTATCAGATTGACACAGAGCAGATAAAGTTTCCCGACACTGAAACTGTTAGGGCTGAGGAGAACCCCCCAGACCCTATTAGATCATTTGATCAAGAGCAACAAATGAATGCAGAGCAGATAAAAATCCCAGAAATGATATCACCAGAAAGCGGAATGTGTCGGATAAATACAGAAGACCACCTGGAACCCATTACTGTTGATGTAACTTTCCAGTCCAAGTACCCAAATGCTTCAGGTATATGCTGGCTCAATCCTTTTTTTTTTTATTGGAAATGAAAATTGTAGAATCTTTTCTAACTGTATCCTCAGTAAAAGGGTTGATTGTGCTCGCACCAACTTGAGATTGGCCAAATCTTGGTTTTTACTGGTTTCTGCAAACCTTAGCTTTTACTTGATTGTGCTCTTATTGTTTCTTCAATTCTTAGCTTTTACTGGTTTTATGTTTTGTGAAATCAAGTGAAAGTTATGATATTAATTTCTGAGAAGTTATTTATGTTTGAAAATTTTATCATAGATCGACAATTCTTCTATTAATGCAGGCGCCACTACACCAGAGGTCATGGTTGTTCCAACTCCAGCTGCTAAGGAGCAAGCTAGAGTTTCAAGGAAGAGAAGGTGTTTGTTTGATGACATCATCGTGTTGCCTAACAAGTATGTGAGAATAAGTTTGTGTTTGAATTCTACATAGAGGTGATTCCAACTTGCTGATGTTAGAATTCTACGCTAGATAATATTGTCTTTTCAAAATGGTTTTTATGATGGCTTTTAACCGATAATCCTAATGCTTATTGGTAGTTTCAAAGGTGATGGGTCTTTTATTGTAATTATTGTGGCTTCCAATAATTTTTTTTACTCTTGATAATAGTCCATATTGGACATGTTAAATCAATATTTAACTGTTCTATTAAAAAAGTTTTAACTCTTTCCTTTTGACAATCATACGAGTTTATATATACAATGGGGAACACTCTTTAGTGGAAATGACATCTAATTTCAAATCAATTCTACAATTAAATCACTTGCAAGAAAAACTAGTGAATTTCCAATCAATTGGTAGGCTATAAGGTTGAACTCCTGTTTTTGAGTTGTCATTACAATTCTAGCTATGAATTCACTTCTGGTTCTAATGATCTTAGCGCTCGGACCAAGCCTTGTAACATCTGGAATTTGCTAGTATATGCATGGAATTTGAAAATCTGTTGACATCCATAGGAGACATCTATTTGATCACAATCATACGCGCTTATCTTAAAATGGCCCAAATTTATGCGGAGGAGAAAATTAATTTTGTACAGTACTTCATCTTTTCGTTCTTACAGGGTACTTAAGGAAAGCATTGATGACTCGAGTGACTTGATTTGTAAACGAAGGAAAGCTCCTCATACTTCTCTCCATGCCTGGAAGGCGTATCAAATTTCAAATCTCCCTCACACTTTCTCAGAGTCTTTGATTCCTTGTGAGTTCTATTTAATTTTCTGATATGCGGTGGCCATAGATGTCATTCTATTTTACTAATGATGCCTTTCCTGCAGGTATTTCATCAGAGCTCATATCTCTCTTCTGCAGAAAGAAATTAAAAACCCGAGAGGCAGTTGAAACCGTGGAAGCTTCTGAAAAATTAGATATATTAAGTCCAGATGCAGTTAAAACTACGGAAGCTCCTGAAAAATTAGACATATTAGGATCCCCAACTGTTCATAGATCTTTGGATGAAACAGAAATTGTTGCTCCTTCAACACCTGTTACCCGCTCAACTCCTCCTTTGAGGTTGCAAGAGGCTCTTGAAATTACTAAGTTGGATAGAGTGGGACCCTCAAGATCATTTGAAAGCATAGAGAAAGAGTCATCTGAGGATAAAGAATTTGATTTTAGCCTGCTAAATGAGGTGACTTCATGTTTATGTAGACTATGCATTCTTGTCTATCAATTTTCTTGGGAGCATTTAACGAAATTTCTGTCAAAAGAATAGTACAGAATAGAGAGACTTCTATAGTCTGCTTGTGATAAGTTCAGACTAATCAAATGCTACGTTGTTACGCTGATTGTATTTTCATATTCTGTTCTCAAATGCTGGATTGTTTAGTTCACAATTTTGTTGGAATTCAACTTACCTGGCAAACTGTGATGATAGAATGTTGCTCTTAATTCCATGTCAGGAGATTAATTCATGCGAAGGAGTTAGTCACGAAACGAGTAAGAGCACTTCCAAATTAATTCCATTCTTGTACATATGGTTTCATTTTTTCTTTTTCTTTTTCTTTTTAATAAATTAAACAGTATTTTGGACATTTAAGTGGGGTTTGGCAATTGCTTTTTCTTTTCTTTTTTAAAATCTAAAAAAGCATATGCTTTTGGTATTTGCTAATTTTTTTATTTTACTTTTTTGAGCCTTTTCAAACTGGCTTTTTGATGGGAAATTACCATATTACCCTTATAGTGTTGTAGAGCCCTATGGGGGACTGAAATTTCTCAAAGTATTGAGGGCAAAATCATTTTTTCACAAATTTTCCAAAAAACTGCTTATTTTGTTCTTCCAAACAGGTTTTGGTGCATTTTATATGGCGCTCTTATCCAACTCTTATTTTGGTTGCAGGTGAATGGTCGGTCAGAACCAGGTAGGTTGATGGATAGAATTTCTCTTTTCGCTTTAATTTCACAGCTCCTATTGTGAATTTATGAAAAAATCTTTCAATTTGTTAAACTTGTGGTGAACAGAATGCTAGCAAGGTACCTGCACAGAAGCTTTCTACATCGAAAGAAACAAAGAGAAGATGGGGTAGTGAACTTATCGCAGGTTCTGAAACGGAAAACCAAGGGCGAAAGTGCAAGGGTATTCTACGAGATACTGGTACGCTGTTTTCCTTCCATTCCTTTCTTCCTATACCAGTGTTTGTCCCAACTTTGCAGATTTAAATGAAGAGTTAACATGAATCAAAATCTGATGACTTCAGGTTTTGAAAACGAAAGGATGTATAGATATGAAGCAGAATGCAGCCTATGATGACATACTTGTACTAGAAACTCCAAAGTTGCTGCAATGTTGTGAAGCTGATGTGAAGTAAAATGCTAGTGGGGATCCAAAGCTGTAGGGTCTATCTGTGTTTAATTAACAAAATATGTATCATCTCATGTACATACATCAGTAGTTGTTAGAGAGAGTTTAGAATTTTGCAACCCGGATAGCTTGTATATTAAATTATCAGGTGTAAGAATGTTTATTTAAGTCCAGTTTTAACTATTGCCTAGTAATGGTCCAGATTTCTTGGTTTATTTTCATTTATTTGTAGTTTATTTAGCTTAAAATTCGAATTAACATTCTAAAGCAGTTGTATTTTAGTTTTCAAAGTGTGGGTTTCAGTTGTTTTTATAAAAAAAAACAGAAGATAAAGTCAAGTTTTTTTTAATATAAAAATAAATTAATTAAAACCGTTACTAAAAGTCATTTAACATAACTGTTAAGTGTTCTAAATTGAACTGTCAAACTTTACCAATTTTTTTAAAATTTAAATTTATTTTAACTTAGTTTGTATCAGTTACTTTTACTGGTTTATTAATGAATGGATGTTTTTAATTAACATTTTATTTTACTTTGGCGCCCTTTTCTTCTACCACACGCCTCCCTCTTTCGTTACCACTCTGTTTTTGCTCTCCTATCATTTTTGGGGTTGGATAATTTCTAAGAATTTAGAACAAAAATATGGAAAAATGGGTGAAATATAATTATATTTTATTTACATTTTATTCATTTTTTAAATTTTTTTTTAAAATTCTTACTCAAATTCATAATCTAAATACAACGTTAAGCTCTTATCCTTTTGTATACAAATTTTTTGAAGGTATGATTGTATTAATTTATTGAGAAAAGGTTTTCCAAGCAAAAATGTTATAAATCTACCTTTATTAACTCATAATTTATCTCTAATATATTTATGTGGTGAAAATTAAATTAATGAAATATAAAGTTCATGAGTACTACGAATTTAAACTACTGATTTTTTTTCTCTCCTAGAATAACTTCTGAGTTTGATCATTATTTTTGGTGTTTGATTAGTTTTGATCATTATTTGAACGAAAAGCCTAGGCTCAAAAAGTGTACCAGAAAATTAACCAGATCCTTATATCAATGGTGCAGATTTAAAAGGTGTTATTGTGATTGTGAGACCATATTTTACGGGAATCTAGGCCATTAATGTTGTATTCTAGACTTTTTTTTTTTTTGTTGATATTTTTAGTCTGTAAGTGTAGCATGGTTCATACTTCAAAGTCTTTTAATATATTTTTTTAAGTAGATTTGTGTCATTTTAAAAAGATTCAAAGAAATTTTGTTCTAATTTTTGTTCATCATTGGTTTGTCAAATACATTAAAGTAATTAATTCTTTGAAAATTAGTTTAAAGTGCCTCTTCCATTTTTAATAATGGAACAGATCCACAATTTTATTTTGTGATGCCTAAAGTCCCTCAACATTACACTCATATATCACAGAGAAATTTGACTCTATCAAATCAAAACTCATTTCTCTCTTTCTATCAACTTCTCCATTCTCAGACCTTTCTGATTCTGTCAAGAAATCCAATCAAAAATTAAATCAAAGTGCTCCACATGAATGGCTCGTCGATTCACATCCATCCTCAAACAACTCCGCACTTGATCACCATCATGATTCGTAACGTACATGCCCCGACCCAGAGATGGCGCTTCGAGAGCCATCACTCTAATTTCCGGCAACGGAATTGGACCTCTGGTCACCAGTGCCGTCGAGTAGGTCATGGAGGCAATGCATGCGCCAGTGTACTTCGATCGCTACCAAGTCCGAAGCGACATGAAGAACGCGTCTCTGGAGGTGATTGAATGGATCCGCAAGAACAAGGTGTACTTGAAAGGAGGTTAAAGTAATTAATTATTTGAAAATTAGTTTAAAGTGCCTCTTCCATTTTTAATAATGGAACAGATCCACAATTTTATTTTGTGATGCCTAAAGTTCTTCAATATTACACTCATATATCACAGAGAAATTTGACTCTATCAAATCAAAACTCATTTCTCTCTTTCTATCAACTTCTCCATTCTCAGACCTCTCTGATTCTGTCAAGAAATCCAATCAAAAATTAAATCAAAGTGCTCCACATGAATGGCTCGTCGATTCACATCCATCCTCAAACAACTTCGCACTTGATCACCATCATGATTCGTAACGTACATGCCCCGACCCAGAGATGGCGCTTCGAGAGCCATCACTCTAATTTCCGGCAACGGAATTGGACCTCTGGTCAACAGTGCTGTCGAGTAGGTCACGGAGGCAATGCATGCGCCGGTGTACTTCGATCGCTACCAAGTCCGAAGCGACATGAAGAACGCGTCTCTGGAGGTGATTGAATGGATCCGCAAGAACAAGGTGTACTTGAAAGGAGGTTTAGGGTTTTTGAATTTAACCGATCGGTCATTAGCTCTTGGTCATTCTTTCCTCACCTTGATTACTTGATTGGATCTATAACCATGCCCGCCAAAAAGGCTCCTTCTTTGTCGTTGGCAATGCCTTTGGTGTACCAGTAGCCGTCGTCGGGGCTGGTGGTCTAGCAGGTGGTGTTTCCTTAGAAACGGCTATCTTCGGTGGTGGATGATTCATATTTTATGAGGAATTGAAGAAGGAGAAGCAGAGGCAGATGATTGAATTGTAGAAGTAGATGATGCAATTCGCTAAAGATTTTGAGGTTAAGAGGATGCAGCTGTTCAAGGATACTCAGGTTCAGCTTGAGAAGATCAAGCAAGCTAAGTGGTTGGATTCGAATGGTGACAGAAAATGAAATTTCTGAGTTGTGAATTTCTCTGGGTTAAGTGATTTAAAGAGGGGGAATTTCTCTAATTTGAGTGAATATCTCTGGGTTGGTGAGAGAAAATTCTCTGGTTTTGAGAAAATTTTTCTGAGTTGAAGTGAGTCCAGAGAAATTCTCAACTCAGAGAAATTATCAACTCAGAAAAATTTCAAAAGAACTGAATTTTGTTTCTTGGTTGCTATGTTACATGGACTTGGGTACAGGTGTCAGGTGCGGGTATGTATCTAGAGGTCGGACTCATCAAATTATAAATTTAAGGATACGCGGACTCGACAAAAAAATGTCATATTTTTATATTTTTAATCTAATATGTGAGATAAAATAGTATTATATTTAACTTCTAGTGTCAAAATGACATTTATAGCAATTATATAACAATATATACATATAATAATAGTGTTATATACAATTATATAAGAAGTATCCGTTGAAAAGTATCCGACACATATCCCATACCCTTGTTCGAGTGTCGAGTTTCCGACACGGGTATTTGATTTAATTTGAAGAGTCCATGTAACATAGCTTGGTTGTACTCAGTGCAATAATTTTGTATATGCTTTGTCTGGTGTGCACATTTCTTGAAGTGAGTCTAGAAAAATTCTTCCCTGATAAGAATTTCTCTGTGAAATTCTCTGGATTTCTCTAGTAATAAATTTTTGTTTTGCCTTTTTTTTTTTTTTTAGTTAAAAACCATAACTATTAGTTATTTACATAATTTGGAAATTTCTCTGGAAAGAAACAGAGAATTTCTTTGGGTTGGAGAGAATTTCTTTGGTTTAGAATTTATCTAGTTCAGAATTTTTCTGCGAAATCCAGAGAAATTCTCTGGATGAAATTGAGGAATCTTAGACATTATGAAAATATTAGATACCCTTTATGCTATAAAATCTTAATATCAAGGATCCTAAAAAAAAACCCCTTAATTATTTAATATTTTTATCTTTATTTTGAAAATCATAAAAGGAAATAAACTTGAGGGTGTAAGTAATTAATTATTTAATATTTTTATCTTTATTTTGAAAATTATAAATTTGAGAGTATTTAGGAAGAGGATTGGATTAAAATAACCTATTAAAAGATAAAATAAGTTAAAAGATTCAATAAGTTAAAATATCACATTTAATATATAATCCTTTTTTTTTTTTTAACACCTATCTAATTAACTATAAAAAAAAATTCAACTATTTACTTAAGCGCAATTATTTTAATCAAATTTAAAAAAAAAAAAAAAAAAAAAATCAAATAGGCTACTTCGTTGGTGCGTGTACTGGGAAAAATTGTGTGCGCAACTAGAAGGTAATGACCCAAAGACTCTCTCTCTAGGGTTTTACAAATCGAAGTCACTTCTTCATTCCCAAATCATCATCTTGCGATATCTGTTGATTCGCTATTTCCCTAAATGATCGTAGCTTTCGGGGAGAGCGGATCCAGGAAGCTATGACGACCGCAGCTCAGTCTTTCAATGGCAACTTGAAGGCAAGCTTCTCTACTTCTTCATTTTTTTTTATTCGATCTTTATTCGTTACCGTTGTTCTTGTTTGGCTGCTGAGAAAGCAAAGGAAGATAAATGTATAGAAAGAAAAGGAAACTGAAATTGCCAAGCTTTTCTAGCCAAATTGTGAATTTTTTGTCATTCTTTGATAAAAGAAATAATTTTGTCTACAATTGAGAATGCATACCAGATGTTTGTGGAAAGTACCGAGTGACTTATGTAATGCTATATTATAATGAAATGATTGAGTTTTGTTGTTCTATTTCACAGTGGATATGCTCTGATTCTTGGATTTGTTTAATGAGTTAATTTCGAATTTGAGAAATAATCAACTATTCTTTTTCATGTCTAAAACAATTTTAAACATACTCAGCATGATAAGTGCCTAGCTTTTCAAACATTCAGGATTTTCTTTTCTGCGTGCTTTACTAACCTTGAAGTTAGCTTCTAAGCTGTCCTGAACTCCAAAGACATAGTCATCATTTTCTTCTCTTGCATTTATGTTTTCAAGCATTGATGCATTGCAATGTGTTATTCACAGTGTCTTGAGATGCCCAACTGGTGGTTCTATTATGAAATACAAAAATAGCCCAAAATTTACGACATATTGCTTTATATTGAATTTTCTCGTAGTAGCTATCTTATAGAAAATTGAGGGGTCACTTGTCATAGGAACTCCACCATGCCAGGCAAGAAAGTTGTCTGTTTTTAACGAACTATGCTCTGTTTTGTTCACGAAACAAATGGCATACCACGGAACTCATCCTTTTCAAGATCAACATTGTAAATTTTCCACAAATATTCTGTGAGATTGAAGTTTAGACATTGAAAGCTTAAATTTTTGGGTGCTTATAAATATATAAACTCCAATTCCTGTTGATTGACAGGCGACAATTTCTCTCTGTCCATGCCATGTGGATGCCACATGAAGTAGTTTTAAATTCTAATATTTTCATATAATATGATGAATGGTGCATGTTCCTATTACCTAAGGTCATTAAGTTTGTTTTTGAACTTAATGCATATTATGACAAATATTTATACATATTATCTTCACGCAGAAAGCTCTTGCTGGCCTGAGACGTATCAATTTGGATGGTTTGAGGTGGAGAGTATTTGATGCCAAAGGACAGGTTGGAACTATCTCCCCCACCCCCGTGTTCCTTTTGTTGTTGTTGTTGTGTGTCTTTAAGATTGTGTATTTCTACAAAGTTTGGGAAAAGATTTTGAAGGATGGGTTGAATCATTCAAGTGTTTTGACAAAAAACTTGGTGATGGAAATATGTGATACAAACTGTCCCATCTATGTGGAAGCCCAGATGTTTGCTACCAACTTTATTTTCTTTTAAGTTGTGATTAATAATAAATGTCACTTGTCATATAGGTCCTTGGGAGGTTAGCATCTCAAATATCTACTGTTATTCAAGGCAAGGATAAACCAACATATGCACCTAATCGTGATGATGGGGATATGTGCATTGTGCTCAATGCGAAGGATATTTGTGTCACAGGAAGGAAACTTACGGACAAGTTTTATCGCTGGCATACTGGGCAAGTAACCAATTTTCTAGTGCTAACTTCTTATAGCATGAAAATGAAATATTTCTGTTTGGTTTTCTTACCCCATTCAAATTTATAATAAAAATGTGTTAAGAATCATAAGACTATTTTGGTGCGGTGGAAATCTGTTATGACTTTCTTTTAGCAAGTTCTAATATATAGATTGATTTAAAACACGGACTAGTCAAATGCTGAAAAAACATTAGTAGATGACTGTCATAGTATGACATCATTTATGCAGTTAACCAAATGCCCCAACTTTTTGTATTTTTTGTGTAGAATTTCTGTCTTAAAAATGAACTATTTTGGCTCATAGGTACATTGGCCACCTCAAGGAAAGAAGTTTAAAAGATCAGCTGGCAAAGGATCCTACAGAAGTTATTCGCAAAGCTGTCCTACGCATGCTTCCAAGAAACAAATTGCGTGATGTAAGTGCTATTGCAACCTCTTTCCAGTATATGTAACTAAAGAGCTAATTAAAGCCATTTGAAATTTCGGATTTAGTTTTTCTTTCAACTAATTGGATTTTGTTTTGTTACTTTCTTGACCTCTCAAACTGCCTTTATAGAATAGCATCATGTGTTCATAATTTATATTGAAAGGCAATTAAAAACCCCAAAATAAAAGAAGGAAAATGATAATTTGTGATTTACTATTAATATTCTGTATGACAAACGTGAAATGTGTGACACACATTTGAATTAGTATATAACTAGCAGTACTTTGATGTGATGATTGGTTTGATGCCAAAAAAGAACATATTTTTTCTGTTTATTTATTGTTGTTTTATTTACTTCTAAAAGCCTTATAAGAGGAATTATGATCTCATGCATTTCCAACTCAGTATAGAAAAAATGTTCACACTATAGTACTTTAGTGATCTTGGGAGGATGCTGGATATGTGGTGAAGCATAGTGAAGGTACTTTGCAATTGGTTACTGCAAATTATGATTTGTTGAATGTCAAGGGGAGGAGGCTACTGAAACAGACCTAATTGGAAGTTCTTATATCATTATGCAGGATAGAGATCGAAAGCTGAGAATATTTGCTGGCAATGAGCACCCATTCGGTGACAGGCCTATTGAACCATATGTGATGCCTCCTCGACAAGTACGGGAAATGCGTCCACGTGCGAGACGAGCCATGATTCGAGCTCAGAAGAAGGCTGAGCTACAAAAACAGGGTGGTGCAGACACTAGAAAAGGCAAAAAGAAGGAAGAGGATACATTAGAAATAAAGGCATGAAGAGTGTAGATTTGAGAGCTGAAGCTTGGTTATCTGTCCTGTAACTCAGAAGGGTTATGTTGCCGTGGAAGTCAGTCAAGCCTGGCACTGGAATTTTTCTCATGTTATCTAGATTTTGTGTGGTTTTTCATCTTCTGCCTTTGTAGCGAGTCAAATTGGGCCGAGTTGGCCATGATGCCATGAATGTAGACAGCTATGTCTTAAGTTAGTTTACATTGCTTTCAACTTTTGACGTAGTATGATCAAATTTTAAATAATTTGAAGGGGAGAACTTTTCATTGCCATCAAATTATTAGAAGAGTATGAAATGTCTATACCTTAAAATGGTGATTTTTCTGAAAAAAGTATTGCCAAGAAGGTTTTTTTCTCTCTCTAACATGCTATCTTCTTATTTTTGTGCCATGTTTGAATCTTGAATTTGTAAAGCAAAAAGAAAGAAAAATGGAAAATTGGAGGAAATTTTTTTTTGCACTGTATCATTTTTTCCCTCCCTTTAGTTTAAAAAAAAAACAAACAAAAACTATAAACATGGACAACTTAGGACTTAATTTGAAAGATGCAATGCCTTGCTTGTATACAGCATGCTACCAGGGTTCAGTGTCACTGTGACAATTCAGGCAGAAAGTATACAAGAAGCTGAACAATTCACATGAGCAAAACTAATAGATCTGAAATGAAAACTTGGCAAGCAGTTTGAGTAACAAAAAGGATACATTAAAACTCCAACCCTTTTACCCATTAAGTTCGGGGTTCATAACCACATCAAACCATATCTTAATTTAATATGTTAAAAAACAAATAAAGATGCAGAAGCAGCAATACAGTCTACAGACAGCATCTCTACTACTAGAAAACACAAAATCTATACTTTTTCCACTAAAAGAGAAAACAAAATGAAAAGAACAAGGATGAGATAGAAATAAAGACTTAGGACCCTAATCACTAGAAGATCCATCATCATCATCTTCATGATCTCTAACAACCTTCTCTATGAGCCTCTGCCGAACTCCTTTGAGGACAGCTGATGGTTCGCTTCCACTTTGCCCATCATTGAGAACAGAATCAGACTGGCAGAGAACCAAGGCAACACCTAGCAATTTGGAAAAAGTAACAGAGTTGTTAAATCCGAATACACCTAGGGGCCAGAAAACTTGAATAAGATATATGTCATTTCAGATCAGTTTCTACACTTACAGACAATGCTCTTACATGACAAAACAGTGAATTCAACAAGGAATTTGTTAAATCAAAAACAACCCCAAGTATATGTAACTATAATAGTTCCAACACATGCTCAAATCAGTTTCTACACTTACAGACAAAGCTCTTACATGACAAAACAGTAAATTCATCAAGGAATTTGTTAAATCAAAAACAACCCCAAGTATATGTAACTATAATAGTTCCAACACATGCTCAAGTGCAGAAGATAGAGGGTGAGCTCAGATGAATGGTGAATCTGGTGCCCATACGTGTATATCTGTGCAAGAGCCCTATATCCATGTGAGGTGTAACTTCCATCAATAGAGAAGAAGATGAAAAAGCACCTGCACCCATATAGCTCAAATAGATTTTTGGATTCACATGCCCACTCATGCATTTATGTTTGATCCTGTTGTTTTTCTGAAAGTTCACTTGATGCAAAATAAAACTCATCACAATTAATGATCCATTCTATAGTCCACAAAACGAAATCTCCAAATAGCTATAAATTTATAATTAACCACTTCAAAATACTTAACATTGAAAAAAATCAACTATAAATTTCTTTGTTCACTTGATCCATACACTTGAAGCGCATTAGTCTGATTAGAAACCATACCTTCCCACAACAACTATAAATTGAAAATCATGTCAGACAAATATTTCATCTGCATTCATGTTTCTTATTAAAACAAATTAGAAAACGAAGAAAGAGGAACAAATTCACATGCTTATGCAATTTGGTCTGAAAGCATTTCAAAATTTCTTTTACTGTATAACAATTTTGGAATAAAGAATCTCACTTTTGATGCCACGATATCTACATATAAGCTCATGATAACTACATACACTAACACAAAGATCTAAGAAATTCAGATTCTTAGAGAAACAGCACTTAATGGCACATTCCAAGGGGCATAGAAAGGATGATAAAAACTATTGAAATTGTTTTAGATATAATAAGATACCTTCAGGGGTACATCTGCGCCCAAAATTATGCAAGCCCACATAATTTGCCTTGACAGCACCATTATTGTACACCAAAAGAGTTGGAAGATTACAATCTGGATAGTTAGGAATGCAGTCAGTAGATATTATTTTAATAAATTTCGTTGCCGGGTATTTTGTTGCTAGCTGTTCCAAGCATTGAAGAAGAAGCCCACATTCTGGGTATCTATAAAAAAAATTTAAAACAGATATCAACACACACATGGATACGCATTTACAAAAGTATAAGAATCCAAAGGGGTATAATAAAAAGAATGGAGCTGTTTAAGAAGTAACAGTAATCAATTAGATAAGTAGTGCAACAATGGAACCATCAAATTTCCAGGAATAATTCTTACCCGTCCTTGTACAAAATGACGACGACCCAAACATCTGGTGGAGCCTGGGAAACCTCGCGTACAAAATCAGATCCAGAAATTGGAACCACTGATCCATACCTCCGAACCTTAGCTGCTTGTCTCAATTCTCCCAACCTCTTCTTCCTTTTAATACACACCATGCAATCAAATTAAGAAATATTCAATTAAAACATACATGTTAAGGCAATAAGAGCATCTCCAATCCTTCACCAATTCTTTCATCAATTTGATGAATAAAGAACAGTGAGCTCCAATCATTTCATCAAACTTGTATCAAATCAAGGAGAGGCAAAATTTTCACCAAATCAAGGATGAACTAAATCCTTCACCAAATTTTCAACAGTCATATTATTAGTCAAATTTGATGAAATTTTACAAAGAGTAAGGTTTGGAGATGATTTTCTTTTCATAAATAAATGATTAAGACAGGATAAATTCGGAACTTTTTAAAAAGATTTGATGAAAAAAAAAGTAAGGATTGTTGTGTTCCATCCCAGATCAATCATATAACCAAAATTTCACTCAAATTGATGAAGAAGAAGAGTAAGGATTGGAGATGCTCTAATGTGATTTTTTTTTTTAAAAAAAAAAGAAGAAAAAAAAGAAGAAGAAAAGTTAGGTCCAATTTATGTTGATGGCATATAGTTCATGGAACACTTGTCAGGAAATTAGGGCTCCAATTATCTTCAATGAACTGTTACCACGAAGTTCAGGACAATCCTTCAAGGGTTTTGATTAAGCTACCAGAAAAGGAAAAAAAAAACACCACCTTTTTTTTAAGGTAAAAAACCAAAATAAACAGCAAAAAGAAACTCAATTTAACTGAGCCAATAGCTGGGTTTTTTATTGGGTTTCCCTCGGATTCTTGGGAACCAAACGCATAATTAGGAGAATCAGAAGACGGAAAATGATACCTGTACTCTTGAAGGAAGCGATCGTCGTCGAGATCGAGATCGTCCTCGAGATCTTCGAGTTGTTCTTCGGTCCTATCATCGATCCAAGCTTCGTCTTTGTGTTTAGAGTCTTCGTCCTCGGCGGGCGTGAAGGATGGGGGCTTGAATGCAGGGGGCTTCGGAGGGAGGTTTCCCAATTTTCTCTGAATATCGTCCCATTGAGTCGAAGCTCCTTCTACGTCCTTGTACACGAAGTGATAGTTCGCCATTTTTGAATCTCCGATCAATTCTCTCTCTGTCTCGTTCTGCTTCGATGAAGCTTTGGTATGTGATAACGAATTACGGACTTGCAGATAAGTGGGCCAAAGGCCTATAATTATTCGGTCCGTTTACTATTCTGATAAGTGGGCTATAGGCCCATAATTATTCGTCCCGTTTACGACCAGTTCTTGGTTCATAAGCATTCCACTCAAGGCATAGTGTTTTAACAGTGCAAGGATTCTCCATCCTTAAATAATTCTATTGCCTGTTTTAATTCATTCATACTTATTAGATATGTCTTAAAATTTTTATATTTTAAAATTCTCATATGAATTAATAGTTGTAAATGAATTGAGATAAGAGGACAAAATTATTTAGGGATAGAAGATTTTTGTATGTTTTAACAAATTACACGGGAAATATTATGGCGTGCATGTTATATGCACTCTATCATAAAATTTATAAATTCGTCATAAATTGATATAATTAAATCATAAATTTTTTTGTTACGCTAATTTATAACAATACTATACATTTTATATAAATTTATATATTTTTGTGATAAGATGCATATAGTTCCCCTGCCTTTGATACTTGATTGGTTATGCTATAGCATATCCAATTATTTCATTAAATTCAAATTTAATAATAATAAAAAATTGGCCGTGCCTCATTTTGTCGACTTTATATCAAACTAAGAATAAATCAAATTTTTAACAAAAATTATTTATTATAATCTCATGAAATTTAAAAAGAGATAGAATTTGAGATATTTATTTATTTATTATTATTATTATCAAAAGAGTACTGCTAAAGAAATAGAAAATTTACACACGCTTCTATTTCAATTTAGCGATGTGGCTTCCTTAGGTTGTCTTATTTTAAAATAAAAAATTCATTAAAATGACTTTTAATTTTCAAAATATCATTGTCACATTACCTTTGTGATAAATTTTATATAAATTTTTTGTTGAGGGCAAATTACAGAAATGATCCCTATAATTTACCCGTGGTTTCATTTTGGTACTTGCACTTCTAAATGTATTAATTTTGCCATTGCAGTTTAATTTTTGGCTCAAAATGATCCAATAGTTAACGGTCGTTAGACTTTTGGACGGAAATTTCACGCGTGCAAAACACGCACAAGACTTGCACAGTCTCTATATTTCATTATGTTTATTAATGAACAATTTTGACTTTCTTGACTATTTTTGCAACAATTTAATTTTTCTCTAATATCATCACTCTAATTTAACTCATTTAATAGGTGTTTTATTTAATTTCATTATTTAATTATTATTATTTTTATAAATAAATTTATTTAAAATTTTAATTAAAAAATAATATATTTTTTATTGATATTTTATTTTTAAAGATAAATTTATTTAATTGTCTATAAAATAAAATAAAATAAATTTTTATTTAATCTAACTAAAGATATGTTTAATATTGCTATTACTTAGTTAACAATTGAAAAATTGTAAAATAGTCTTTTGCACATTTATCATTATCCAGTCCGTTCAACCAAATATTAGATTCACTATAAATAGTCATTTCCAAACATCTAATCCCATGAGAAAGCAAACACGGGATACACATCCAATCTAACCAAATAGTCCGAGGGATTCAGAGTTTCAGGATTCAAGTCCAATAGATTCTAATCCCCTCTTTTCTAATTGTTTGCTAAGTAATAGCATAAAGGTAAAATAGACATTTCACATATTAGTCCCATAGGGTATCAATCCCATGGAAATAATCTCACCCTTCCCAGAATTGTTTAGTCCCTCACATGAGAGATATGGAGTTCGGCCAAACTGCATGTTCAATGGACTAAATTATTAATAAAAAATAATTTATTAAAGCAAACAATGGACTAAATTAATAATTTAAAAATAATTTAAATGAGCAACAATTTGAATCAAACGATGGATAAACAATAAAAAATATACCAAACCAAACCAAACGAAGCCTTAAGTCCCATCAAATGGGGTCGGCTACATGAATCCTTCTTCTCCACGTGACCCTATCAAAGGCCATTTTATTAGTCAAATTAAGTAGATTCATATCTCTATTTATAATGCTAGTCAATGTTAATCTAGGCCTACCCCGTCCCCTAACACTTCCATCTACCGTTACAGCATCGCATCTTTTCACTACTGCCTCTGTTGGTCTCTGTTGAATATGACCAAACCATCTCAAACGATTCTCTCTCAACTTATCTTCTATCGGTGCTACTCCTACCCATTCTCGAATACACTCATTCATAATCCTGTCTTGTCTAGTCTTACTACACATCCACCTTAGCATCCTCATCTCAGCCACACTCATCTTATCTACATGTTGTTTCTTGGTTGCCCAACACTCCATCCCATACAACATAGCTGGTCTAATAGCCGTTCTATAAAACTTACCTTTTAGTCCA